CTCGCACATGTGGGCTAGTTGCTTATGCCTTTCATCGAGCATCTTTGCTCCTGAGCCTAATGCTTGCTCCATACAAAGGCGTGTCTTGGGCTTCTCTGTTAAGCCTGGGCTGTGAATTTTTACCGCACAACATAAGGTCTGTAATACTTTCTCTCTAGTTAGTATACTCAGAAAATAAACAATATTATAAGAAAATATATAAATATAGATGAGTATGAAATAATGGGCCCATAATAAATTTTTCTTTATATACAAATCTTTACATAATATAATAAAGTTACAAAATAGTATCACGATAGTGTCGCCAAACCCTTCCGCTTCTTGACGTTCCATGCGACCGCGTCTCACCTACTACCTGCAAAAACATTGAAAACAACGGAGCACTAATTACTTAGTAAGTAAACCCGCTATGCTACCCTTCTCTCTCCGTTGCTTAAATGTTGAGTTTCTTTCCTTACATCACACTTCTCTATTCTTCTCTGTTCTTTCTCTATTCTTTCTCTGTTCTTTCTCAATTTCTATTTTTCTCATTACTCAAGATAATAGGCATGGTATTATGCATAGATATGATGCAAATGCACAAATGCATAGAATGTGCCTTTTCTTTTCTATTTTTCTTATTTTGTTTCTATTTTTTGTATTTCTTTCTTTCTTTCTTTTCTAGTCTTATGATGCAAATGCACAAATGCATAGAATGTGCCTTTTCTTTTCTATTTTTCTTATTCTGTTTCTTTTTTTTGTATTTCTTTCTTTCTTTCTTTTCTAGTCTTTCTTTCTTTCTATTCTTTCTATTCTTTCTTTCTTTCTTTCTCTTCTTTCTCTTCTTTCTTTCTTTCTTTCTTTCTTTCTTTCTTTCTCTTCTTTCTATTCTTTCTTTCTTTCTTGCCGATCGGACTCGGTTGAGGCATGGATTTGGAACCTTGGCCGTGTGAGTGTATTCTTTAATTCTGGGTACAGTATGTTAGAGTAGATGCCCTAGAGCCAATCAATTATTGTGGAATTGACTCTTTGTAATAATGTTCATTAATCAATAATCAAGGCATTTTATACTATATCGCGTAAATCATTATTATTGCAATATGTATTGATATATGTCCTTAGAATGGTAGAACCNGAGCCTCCAAACGTGCGTATGGTTTCTAAACACATATTATTAATTTCTGCAGATTCTTGCTTTAATATGAATTGTAAAATTATACCCTTGATATTGGCTCATGCAAACGATCCTGTTATATTAATTTTTGTTTCCGCTGCGTATACGGGACCATTTACTAACATAGTCCTCATCCACATGCGTGTGGACTACGTGGGTTCGATCCTACACTTGGATCGGTAGCAAAACGTTCAAAGACAATCGTGGTAGAGCCTCCAAACGTGCGTATGGTTTCTAAACACATATTATTAATTTCTGCAGATTCTTGCTTTAATATGAATTGTAAAATTATACCCTTGATATTGGCTCATGCAAACGATCCTGTTATATTAATTTTTGTTTCCGCTGCGTATACGGGACCATTTACTAACATAGTCCTCATCCACATGCGTGTGGACTACGTGGGTTCGATCCTACACTTGGATCGGTAGCAAAACGTTCAAAGACAATCGTGGTAGAGCCTCCAAACGTGCGTATGGTTTCTAAACACATATTATTAATTTCTGCAGATTCTTGCTTTAATATGAATTGTAAAATTATACCCTTGATATTGGCTCATGCAAACGATCCTGTTATATTAATTTTTGTTTTCGCTGCGTATACGGGACCATTTACTAACATAGTCCTCATCCACATGCACTTCTAACGGACTGTACAATTCTTCTTTCTGAATTCTGAGACCGCTCACTAATGGCGGCATGCATGCGGGGCTATGTCAGTCACGGGTTCCCCATCGCAACAACCTTCTCTTCTTTTATCTTTTTACACTTCTTTAAATAAAAAATCAGATTTGAATTTCTTTAATATTCTCATTTCTTTCTATTTACTCTTTAATATTCTTTAATGCTTTTTCATGCTCTCATGAGTATGTATGCATGTAGATGGTTCATGCTTATAATTCTTTCTAAATTCACGTGTTTAGATGTAATAATGCAATGTGGAATGCAAAAATGTCATTTTCTACCATCTACTAGCTCATCTCAAAATAACACATAACCATACTCATACATGCACTTCTCTTTGACATGTCATCAAACAACTTATGTGCACATCTAAGCTCTAAATTGGCTACACTTCTACTTCTTTTCTAAGCCACCAAAATTTGGAACAAAAACTTCCAAGATTAACGCCAAACCTGCCCAAATTGCACACTCCATAATTTCTACTCCAATTCTTCCATAATTCATCCAAACTCTCATCAAACATCAAATACACTAACATCACTTCTCATGGATAAGTTCTAACCATCATTCAACATCAAATCCATCAATAATTCTTCATATAAAACACATATATGCATAAAAGAAATTCTCTACACAATATTGCTTCAATCATAACTAGGGTAGAATTTACTTACCTTAGATGTGAGCAATCCAACACTTTAATAATCTTCTTTGATCCAACTCTCTTTCTCTTAAATCCTATGAACACTAATCATCAAAATTTAACACTTTAAAAATTAAAACTCACTTCTTAGTGCAAGGATCTTACCTAAGGATGCTTGGGATTGAAATTCCACTAAAAATAACCCAAGATCTATGAATTTCCCTTGAAAAAGAATTGAAGAACTTGAGAGAATTTGGGGATGAAGGTGGCGTGAAAGTGGAGGAAGAATGGCTAGGGTTTCATTTTTCAACTCTTGATATAACATATTATTATTTATAGTTTTCCATTTTACCCTTGCAGTTTCTATGAAATTCCATCTATGTCCCTTAGTCAATTACCATAATGCCCTCATTTTTATTGCATTCTCCATGAAATTTTATCTCCTTTCACTTCCAACTTTTTTAACTAATTATGAGTGAAAATACCATTTTACCCCTAATGACAATTTAAGGGATTTTCTTCACACTTATTCAAGACAACTTTAATAAAATTTAACTAAGGGTATTAGGGCATAAGTAAAACTACGTACCTTGATGTGGGCGTTACAAGGTCACTCCAATTCAACACATGAGAAGGATCCGGGTAGTATTTCTTAAGCATTGAAATGTGAAAGACATAATAAATTTTTGACAATTTAAAGGGTGAAGCCATGGTAGAGTAGGTGCCTTAGAGCAAATCAATTCATTGTAATATGACATTGATGAATCATGTTTATTTATTAATAAAGGCAATTTTATTATATCGTGTAATTCATATTTAATTATATGTTGTAAAACCCTAATATGACAAATGTTAGTATAGGTGCCCTAAAGCTAATCCGATTGAAGCTATTGACTCTTTGTAAAACACATGTTAATATTAATAAAGGCAAATTCTATATATCATTGTGCTTATATTTATTTAATACATATTGATATATACCCTTAGAGTGATAGAATCGTGACGAGTATCAAGTGTTTTAAATCTTGATTGTGACTATGATCACATATGATGGCCACTCTAGAAGAGTCCGTAGCCTCAGTATTATTTTAAACTAGACACAGATAATACAATAAGACTATCATAGCGTTGAGCGTCCCTATCGAAAGGTAGTGATAGATCTCGCATGTCAAAGTTATTTGGTGACGACTTGGTGCAACGTGTGAGTACTTGTATTTGGCAAGTTCACTGGACTGACCCACTAGAGGATTCTATATAGATGGTAACCCCAATGCCTATGGAATATATCCTCTAACGGATGGTGGTGCATGTGATCCTTAGACTTAAGATCACCAAAGCACTGTGTTAAATATTAGTGTAGTTTGACACTAGCCTAACATAATCCTTTTTAGGTTTATCAGTACGATAGTGATTGACTACACTGAGAAGTACACCATGGTTTTGGTGAATCGACATAGGATTCATCACTCTTGGGGTACAGGAGAATTTATCTTGCTAAGTAATTCGATAAATGACAACGACCGCAAATTTGTGGACATATAATATTTTCCATCAACCCATCGCTCCAATCCTCACTTATACAACCCTTTTCCATCAACCCATCACTCCAATCCTCACTTATACAACCCTTTTCCATCAACCAATCCACACTTACACTTACACTTACACTTACACACACACACACACACACACACACACAAATCAATCCACACTTACAAGACCCATTTCTTCAACCCATCGCTCCAACCATACTTACACAACCCATTCCATTAACCAATCCACACTTACACAACAAAAAGACAATCATAGTATCATACAATACAAGTCTACAACACTACACAACAAATACAATCACACAATACTACTTGGCAATCTGCAGAACAAGTACCCTGGGTGGCTGTGTCGTTGGCGGTGGATTAGTTGGGGTAATTGACTGGTTGGAGTCTCGGAGACGGAGGTGCATCAGTTGCGAACGGTGGCGCAATTTGCAAGCAACGAACATACGGAGAAGTAATTTTGGGTTATAGAAAAAATTGAATTGGTTTTTTTTGTTTGGGTTTCAAATTCAATCAAACATTAGTCATAAAACTAGGTTTTTAAATTTTGGAAATAAAATTAAATATTCTAACCCCCCTCATAATTGTAAAAACTTACATATGTACCCTCATATAAAGCCCCAAAACCCCCTCATAGTTGTAAAAACTTACATATGACCCCTTAAACCCTTTTGAGCCCTTATGTGCTCGCGAACCTCTCGAGTCGAGCCATGATTGGCTCGAATTGGCTCGATATAGGACTCGAGCGACTTGAATTCGAGATCGGCTCAACAAATATGAAGCTTGACCCGAGCCCGCGAGCAGCTCGGTTTGGGTCACCGCCCTAGTTATACGAGTATAAAGTTAGTTTAGTTGAGAGAGGTGATCAATTTTTTACAGGCCCCATGTTTTGGCTAAATTAATTAATTTCCCTAAAATAAATCCTTTGTGCTAATTTATTAAATAGAGGTAGATTTGTGAAAATTAATTCGATGAGAAAATTGTTTTGACCGATTCAGAGGTCACGCACACACAAATTGAATGCAGTAATCCAATTGCATAAATACTTTTGGAATACCAAACATTTGTATCTGATTGTTACTTAGTTGTCAATAGCAGCTTAGAATTTTCGTTTTAATCGGAAATGGGAAGGCGCCCGGTTAGAAACAGGGAGGAGTCAGCGTTGACGAGAGGAGTAACTTCTGCGTTTTCGTTCGTTAAATTTGCAGAGTTCGAGATTCTGTTCCTTCTTTTCTTCATTATCGCTTTCATCGTCTTCAAAGATCTCGTAAGTCTTCTCCTCTCTCCAATTACTATAACTTCTGAGATTGAATTATTATTAATTGGCTATAAACAGAAGAAATGATTTGATTTAATTTAGGAGTCCCATGAATTGTTTATGTCTTGTCTGGATTATTGCTTAATGCTTGTTTAGGTCTTGTTCTTGTTACGTTTAGCGATGTATCCTGTATTTTTGTGATAAAATTACTTTTTAATTTGGAAAGATTGGTTCTTATGCCTCTTCAGCTTGTCATTGTTGTGGAAGAATTTTCAGTTGTATTGTGGATACCCTCAGTGCAGATTCAGAGTCTTGGATTTTGGGCTCAATCTGTAAATTCAAGAAAATTGGGTGGCCAGAGTAAAGAAAATGCAATATTAAGCGTGAATTATAAAATTAACAAATGCAAAATTTAGAAAAGAAATTAAAATTCTGGATTTGGGAGCAATGTGTTGTGCGTTAGGAAAATTGACCCTTGAAAAACAACCGCAAACAAGGCTGCCTGAGCAAGTGCCTATTAGACCCATTACCAAAACTTAGCTTAGAGATGTGGGACATTTTTTGATCGTGAAATTGCACCATATCTTTGAAACCAATTCCTTAACAACCCATATACCCAATTAGGTGGCTTTGTGAATCCCAAATCTTGTTGCATAGTTTTTGGTCTGATAACAGTTGTTATGAACAAATTGAGTATAACTCATCTCTACAAATGGCTTGTAATTGAAGATTGTACAAGCAAGTACTTTCTAAAAATTGACTTGTAAAGAAAGAGTTCCTAAGCAAGTGCTTATAAATTTAATGTCAAAACCTTAGCTTATTGATGCCGGACTCAATTGGGTTGTTACAATCATCATGCTTTTGAGGATCCCACACCATGTCGGTAACAAGGGCTCTCCTTGCTTAGCTTTTTCTTTGATATCAATTGTCATGGACAAATTGAGTAGAAGTCATCTTTAAAATTCGGCTTGTAATGGAAGACTGCAGGAGTTAGTGCTTTTTAAAAATTTGACTTGTAAAGGAAGAGTGACCAAACAAGTGGTTATAAATCTAATGGCCAAACCGTTGTTTAAGGATGTAGGGCTTGATTGGGTCGTTAGTCCACCATGCTTTTGAAACCAACATACACAAGGGCCCATGTACCTAGTTAGGTGATTTCGCAAATCTCGCACACTACTAGATAGCAATCAGCAGCCTAACCTAAGTTGTCTTGTCAATTCTACTTGTAATTGTTAGGTACACATTAAGTAGAAATTATCCGTAAAAACTGGTTTTTAAGGGAAGGATCCCAAGTGTTTATAAGATCTATGGTCAAGTCATAGTTTAGTGATGTGGGACTCATTCAGAGTTTTGCAACTTGGCTGCCCTCAGTAGGGAAGATTCCCCCTCTCTTGCATGCCCTTCTTTCAAATAGAAATTTGGACAGTCTTGTCCCATATTCTTTTTGCTTGATAAATACTTATTAAATAAGAGCAAGCATGTTATTCATTGAATGTAACGGGTGAGATCGTGCGGACAATTGTTCAATAGGATAACTCTTTTTTGCTTACACTAATTTGTGAAGTTGGCAGTCAAGGAAGTCTGATGGTTGTCCAATTTGGTTGGCTGTTTATAAAATTTTTCTGTTATATGTACTTTGTTTTTAACAATTTGATGTATTATTTACACACAAACACAAATGCATGAACTTCATCAGGTCATGACATTAATAGATCTGACAAATCATTACAACTGACTTAGTTGGACAATCATATTTTTCATTAGTGTTAATCTGTTTGGTCAATATTTAATCGCCCAACTAAATATATGATCTGAATAGATTTCTTCTCGTTTTCTATGCAGTACACTTCTAGCATTAAGTTGATTATAGCATTTTTTATTTACTGAAGTTGGTGTTGTGGTGATCCTATTTGTGACTGACAATTTTAGTGACGCATTGATTCATAACATTACATGCTTTATCCATTTGTATAATGACTGAAGTTCTGATGATTGCAAAAATTGTTTGTAGACGTCAAGGCCTGAATATAATCAGATCCTCGTCAAAAAGCCGGGCGGAATTGATTTGTGGCCGTACTAGCTGCAGTCAGCTGCTTGATATATATATGGGTTGGATTGATATTTTATGTATTATTTTAATAGGGAGGGTGGGTAATTAATTAAGAAATTTTTTGTTGCATGTTTATAGAACTTTTTTAGTTGTTCCAAATGTATTGTGGGTGAACTTCTTCTGAGAACATGAAAAGGGCTTCGAGGTCATCTTGTAGTGCTTGTGCTTTGGTTTAATTTTATTAAATATGAGGAGTGAATCATTTGGGGAGTATGATATCACTATGTCAAGCAATTATTTATTATGTATGTCCTTATAATTAGTTAAAGTAATATCATCAATTACTTGGATTTATTTACTGATGTAATGATTTTATGAGTTTGTGTTCCAAGTGATTTGATATAAATTAATGATTGACATTTCATTTCTCTACATGACAATCACTTATAAAACAAACTTAAGAAACTTGGACACATAATATTTTCTTAAGTTTTTATTTCAAGTGATGCAATATTAATTAATAATTGACAAAAATATACAAAATCGTGTGTTATCAGAGAATCAAGCAAGAAGTACGACATCCACCTGTTTTATTTGTATAGCAGCTAAAATGCAAGCTTCATAAATTGGGTTAAAAATGGTCTAAATAATAACAATAACTCTGACAATGTGTGGCAAACAACCACTATTTCCCTCTCACAATTAAGGGGGAAAAATATAATAATAATAACAGACGCAAACAATGAAATTTAAAACAAAATTCGGACTATGAAATTAGAAAATCGATATTCACAACTAGCTAGAGCAAAAAAATTGAATATCACATATAAATTGCATATTTTCACATTCACAAATATCAGATCAGTCGACCACAAACAATAGAATGTATAATTTTTTTTTTTAAATACAAATAGAGATACGTCCAAGGGGAAATTCTTTTACATTCATGCTCATGAAAAATCGGGTAACACCTTGTATCGCAAATGAATTGATGTCCATAAATCATTCTTTGGCAATATCAGTCGCACCGCTTGACTCGTCTAAGCCAGTATTGGCAACAAGACTCTCAACCGGGACTTTTCCTACATCACGTCGAACTCCAAGATCAGAAACCAATCGGTTGACGCAATAAATACCATAACCAACAGCCGCCAGGCCACTAAAGCTTGTAGTCAAGTATCTAAGGGGTGAAGAAACAATAGCACTTACAGCAGCTGCCAATGATGCAGCCTGGCCACTGCAACCCATACTGATGCTAGTATTCACAAGTAGACCTGTTTTGCAGTATATTGCAAAATCCTCACAATTTTTCTTGAAAACATGGTAGACACCAAAACCATTCTGTAGAAGAAAAGTGGCACGATGGAGAACATCTTCCGGGGGATCGGAAGTGGCAAGGGTGCAAGTCCCTCCTCGAGCTTTGACAAGAAATAAAGCTGGTGAGACACCATACTCAAAGAGATAGAGATCGCCACCAGCAAGAAAACAGTCAATGCAGGAGATGATGACACCATCAAGCCTTGAATAATCACCACACTGTAGACATGGATTGTCAGAAGGGTGAGCAGGAGATGAGCTAAAAATGATTCGGTCAAAGAAAGTTCCAGTGCCGATTTCCTGTCCTGCTCCCCTAGTGAAATGGATCACTTTTCCATCACCAGTATATATCCCTAGTGCATATTGGAACCAAAGTTAGCAACACTGATACGGCATTTTAATATTAATTGTGTAAAACATTAAAAATTTGTTTCCATATACATTGTTTATGATATTCATAATTTTTTCCAATTCTAATTGCCAACCAATAAATGTAAGTACAGGCCAAGAACGAAAAGGTCAATTAAGGAGGAAGCTAATCAACTAATACCTCAACGGAAAATCTTATACAACGTATATGATATTCAAAAAAATTTATAATTCTAATTGCCAACCAATAAATGTAAGTATTTGCCAAGAAAAAAAATGGTCGATTAAGCAGGAAGCTGATCAACTAATACCTCAACGGAAAATCTTATTAAATTCAACTCAATTACGTTTTGCTACTGACTAAAAAATTCAGATAAACATTCAAAATGAAAATAACAGATTCAGGATGCATTTCTAACAGATACAATAAACAACTTTAATAAGGAAAAAAATTAATACAGGAGCAAAAACAAACCATTGACATCATTAAAACTATCCCTATCCTTGAGTCATCACAACCGTAGAACTAAAATTATGAATAACAATAATAATATTCCTGGAACTATGTCCTATGTTGTTTCTTAAAAAATTCTCAGTTCAAAGAATTATATTCCAATGGACTCCCTCAAAGCTGTCGAAACCAAGTAAGTTCTGGTAAATTCCAAACATTTACTATGAAAGAAAGAAAGAAATCTCATAACATCCTCATGAATTGATAATTTCATATCATAAAAGTCATATGATGCAATCCAACACACCCCTACAAATTCATAGCCTTCGAATGCCTATAACTAATGTCATCATTCTTCAAATTAATTTTGATTGAAATCCATAAAACGAAAGGATAAAAAAGAGGGAGAACCGTGATGAGCGTAGATGTAGGCTTGTCTCCAAGAGTAGATGTGATCTCCAGGCTTGAGATCTTCTCCATGGATCTTGTTTGATAGAACTCCCATTTTTTTTTTTTCTTTTGATCTTCTCTCTCGCGTTACAAGAGAGAAAAGAGATCCTTTGCCTTCGACAACTAATAAATTCTGCAAAATATTAGGGGTTTTGGCGGAGATATAACCCTAATTGCATAACCTCTTCCAAATAACCAAACTGTTACAATCACAATCACGCGTACCTTATTGAATTCATGGGATTCAATTCCCTTTTCATTGTTTACTTAATGCATTTGAAAAAGAATATTTCGTAAATAGAATTCCATTCCTAATTTGAACATTAAATTGCTATTTTATCTTTTATAATATTCTTAGTTGATATAATAATTTAAATTACATATAAAATATCATTTAAATTATATAAATAAATGTTGTTTGAAAATGAAATTTTTTCCACAAAAATCATCGACCGAAGATTAACCTAGGCACATCCAATGAGTTCAATTTAAGTAGTCTCACCTTCTTTTCCCTTTTATGTTAAATCATACAAGAGGAAATACAACTTAATGAATAATAAATGGTAATATTTTTATTATTTAGGTAGTAATGTTATCTAAAAATTTATAATGTGTTTTTTTTTTTTTTTTTTTTTTTTTTAATCGAGGTGTTTGGACTAGCTTATGCGTCCAAAGATATCGTTCAACGTTAACTAATAAGTGTAGGTGAAGAAATGGTGTCCTGATAATGGTTATCTCCTTAAATGCTCATTGAATCTTTACAAAGGAAGGAGAAAGGCGGTTAGAAGCTCAAATTGGCAATGGTGTTTACAAGCGTGGGCTTTCTGATGCTCAAATTAGTGGAGGGACCAACATAAACTTTATAAGGAGTGATAATGGTAATAGATTTTGTGGAGACGAAAAAGAAGATGATACAGTGTATAAGTGACCTGGCAAAATGGGTTCGTATCTGCGAGTGGACCCGTACTCGTGAAAAAAATATAGGGTATGGGTCCATAAATTTAGGCTTGTATTTTGTTACCCCGACCCGTTTTTTGATAGGTGGGCCGGGTAAACACGTGGATACCCTAAATATTAAAAAAAATAAAAAACCCAAGAACAAAAGTATAAACTCAAAATCCCTAATTTAATTCTTAAGTCTTAACGCCTATTCTCTCTCCACCTTCGACTTCGACTTCAACTTTGACGTTAAACCCTTCCTACCAATACCATCTCTGAATTCTCTCCATTGCAATAGATCATCTCTCTCTTCGATTCGGCCCTTCCTCATTCTCTGTCACCTCCTGCTTGCAAGAGTTAAAACAGAAGAAGATTTCTCTGATTAGAGCGTGGGAAGAAAGTGAGAAGTGCAAAGCAGAGAACAAGTAAGACACCCCTTTTGAGTTTGATAGCTTTCAAGAGAGTGAAAATCCTCACAATCTGGTGATTTTGGTTGGTTCATTTCTTACAATTTTTCTTCTTGTGCTGGATATTTAGCTTTGGGTTTCTTGTTTTTGTTTAGTTCCCAAGAAAAAAAAAATACAAGAACCAAAGAATTTTGTGGAACATGGGATTATTAAGATTTTATTATTATTTGTTATGTATGGATTGTTGTGTGTTCCTATGCTGGATATTTAGGCTGCGTTTGTTTTACTTTTTAGAATAGTATTCTATAATAGAATACTATTTAATCAAATAAGATAGGATTCTGAGAATATGTTTTTGAAAATATTTAGATTATTTTTTAACACCTACATTTATTTTTACTAAACACTCCCGCAATAAAAGTTTATAAATTAACAAAATCACCCCCATCAACTATTGCTAGCAGTCGGCCACAATCGTCAGACGGTGGCTGGAAGCTGCCAGAATGGCGCATGACCGGTTGGATCTGGCCGGTCATGCGCCGATTTGGCCGTTAACGACGGCCATATCTTGGCTGTCGTTGATGGCTAAACAACAACTAGAAATCTGGCCATCGTTTAGCCCCAACAATGGCCAAGATATGGCCGTCAACGATGACCAAGATATGGCTGTCAACGATGACTAAGATATGGCCATCGTCAACGACCAGATCTTTGGCTGTAGATTTGGCCCTTTTTGGCCAGATCCATAGTGGATTTTGCTAGAAATGGCCATATCGGTGCACGACTAGCTAAATCCAGTCGGTCATGCACCATTCCGGTGACTTCCGACCACCATCTGATGGTGGTGGTCGGCTGTTGGCAATAGTTGGGTGGGTGGGGGTGTTTGTAACGCCCACATGGAGGTACGTTACTTATTTTATGCTTGTTTGCCCTTAGATAAGCTTATATGCTCTTAGTGTTGCTTGGTTGCCTTTAGTTTTGCTGGTTTTAAGGTGGAAGATTGGCGAATTTGGGAATTGCAGGTTTCGCCACGGCCAAGAAGAAAGTGCGCCGCGGCGACGTATGCTCTGGAATTTTTTGCCGGGGCGAAGAAAAAGCTTGGCTGGGGTAAAGAGCTGGCTGGAATTCTTGAGAAGATTCTAGAGAAAATTTCCTTAAGGGAGAAATGACCATTCTACCCTTAATTAGTTGAAGATGTGGGGAGTGAAAAGTAAGAAAATTTTATGGAGAATGCAATGGTGATGAGGGCATTTTTATAATTGACTAAAGGACAAAGATGGAATTTCCAAGAAAGTGTAAGGGCAAAATGGGAAAGTATGAATATTAATATGAGATATTAAAGGTTCAAGCACACAAACCCTACCATTCTCTACACCCCACACGCCACTTTCATTCTCAATTCTCTCAAGCTCTTCATCAAATTTCGAAGGAAAATTAGAGGGCTTTTGGTTGGATTTTGATAGAGATTCATTCCTAAGCATCCTAAGGTAAGAATTCTTGCAAATAGAGGTGTGATGAATTATTAAAGTGTTGAATTCTTATAGTTTCTATGCTTAGGATTTTGGAGAAAGTGGAAGTTTACCAAGGAGAGAGAGATTCTAGTGAAATTATTCAAGTTTAAGGTAAGTAAATCCAACTCAAGTTATGATTTGAGAAATCAAGTGAGTAAAGAATTTTTATATGTATGTATGTGTTTATGTTTTTGAGAATTGTTGATGAGATTGATGGTTGTGGATGAGTAGAATTTAGCCATGAGAAGTGGAAGTTGTTGTGTGGTGATTGACAGAAGTTGGGTTGAATTTAGAAAGAGTTCGAGAAGAATTATGAAGTGTATTTTTCCTGGCCAGGTTTAGTATTGATTTAAGGGAGTTTTACTCCAAATATTGGTGGCTTGAAAAAAAAGTAGAAGTATAGCTAAATTAGAATTTGAGTATGCATGCATTATGTTTGATGAAATGTCCAAGAGAAGTGTATGTATGAGTGTATTTATTTGTGATCTTAACATGAGCTTGTAGATGATAGAGAAAGACTTATTTTTATGCTACTTGGCATTCTTGCATTAATAATGAGCATGAATCATCTACATGCAATCATATGCATATGTATGAGAACTTAAAGAATAAAGAGAAAGAAAGAAAAGCACTAAAGAACAAAAAGAAAGAAGGAAGAGTGCTAAAGAAGAGAAAAGAAAGGTTGTTGTGATGGGGAACCTATGGGTGATACGAAGAAGAATATTCCCACACGCACGCCGCCTTCAATGAGCGGCCTAAGAATAAGAAGAAGAATTTGTACGGCCCGTAAGAGTGCATGTGGATGAGGGCTGTACCCAGAAGAAGTACCTACATGCACGCCCCCTTAAATGAGTGGCCTAAGAAGAAAAGAATTCGTACAGTTCGTAAGAGTGCATGTAGATGAGGACTATACTCACTTACACGGCCAGGGTTCCGAATCCATGCATCAACTAAGTCCGATCGGAAAAAAATAAGAAAGAATAAGAAAAGAAGAAGAAAGAAAAGAAAGAAAGAAAAGAAAGAAAGAAAGAAAGAAAGAAAGAAAAGAAACAAGAAAATAGAATAAGAAATAGAAAAGTGGAAAGAAAATGCATCTCTATGCACTTGTGCATTTGCATCACACTTATGCATGATACCATGATTTCTATCATGGGTAGTGAGAAATTCAGAGAAAACTAGAAAGAAAGAACAAAGAAAGTGAGAACGAAAGAACAGTGAGAAATAGAGATAAGAACAAAGAAGAGTAATGTAAGGAAATAAATTTAGAATGTGAGCAACGGAAAGAGAAGGCTAGTATAGCGGATTTACTTACTGAGCAATTAGTGCTCACTCCGTTAATTTCTTTATTTTTGTAAGAAATAGGTGAGAAGCGGTCGGATGGATGTCGAGAAGTGGAGGGAAATGGCACAATTGTCTACTATTTTTGAGCTTATGTGCATGAGACTTTTATTAATGTAAAGTATTTTATATATAAAGTAAAAAAAAATTTTTAGGCCCATTATCTTTTATTAATATGCTTATATGTTTTTATTGTATTATATTTTCCCAAGTATACTAGCTAGAAAGAGTCATTACGGTGTTTTTGTTAATTTATAAACTTTTTATTGAAAAAAGTAATTGTTAAATGTTTTGAGTTAAATAGAATATGATTAGATTTTGAGTTGAATAGAAAAGTAATTATTTCATCGGATTGGATAGGATAGTGTTACAATGTTAAAACAAATGCAGCCTTAGCTCTAGATATTTAGAATGGACCCATGGAATGAAAATGCTTGTTAAGTAACAGATGCACCAAACTTTATCCAAGCTTCTTTATTGAGTCTTGTGAAATATTGGACCCGTTTAGAACTAACCCGTTTTCTCGGGCCACCCACCTGTTTTGCCAAGTCTATATATAAGAGAATGTGAGAATGGTTCTTAGGGTGTATTTGGTTCAGGGAATGTTGTATTACTGAGAGGGTGCGTTTGGTTAGGACTGTAGGAAGATAACACAGGTTATTAATCTTAGATTTCGGACATTCCCATGTTTGGTTTCAAAATAATAAAAGATTTTGGAAAAATTGTAAAGCCAATAGTGTTTACTGTTGGTGATATAGAGGGTAATCAGATTACCACCTCAGACCTTGTTATTCTTTTATTACCGGGGGAATCCATATTTTATACCAATTTTGCCCTTAAATAAAAATCATTTCGGACACATTGCCCTCAATAATCCATCAAATAACAATTTACCCAAATTGGACAAAATGACTACTATGACCTCATAAGTTATTTTTTTTTGGACAAAAATGCCCTTCACTATTT